GGCCTGTCATTTTAAAATGAGCTTGTTTATGTCGACAAAAACTTTGTCAGGGTTCTGTTACAAATTGCATTAACTGGATATATCAGTATGGGCAGTATTGACATCTTCACTCTCCTGAGTCTTTTATTTAATCCAGGAACTTGCTAAGTCTTCAGTTTGTGTAGTTTGTCCTTCTTTTCTTTAATCAGTATTTTCAGCTTACAGATACTATATGAAAGAGCTTCAAGAAAGTTGGTGAGAAAAATGGAAGTCCCCCCCCCCTCCGCCCGCTCCTACGTGTTTATTGTAAATAATAGTGAGTTTTATATTTTCGTTTTCCCCTTGTTTCTTGTTAGTATATAGAATTGTGATTGGGTTTTTTTGTGTGTGTAGATCTTGTGTCTTGTAGCTTTGCTAAGTTCATTTATTCTAGTTTTTTTGTGTTTTGTTTAGATTTTGAATTGACAGGGAGGCTTCGGAAAGTTCATAAGAAAATTCTTTTATCTTTTAATTTAGTTTTTTTTTCCATGAACTTTTTAAAAGTCATTTTATTGAGGTCTTTTACAGTCCATGAACTTTTTGAAGTCCTCTTCTATAGAATTACAAATAGGCATAGTTTAATTTCTTCCTTTTTAATCTGGATGCCTTTTACTTTCTATTTTTCCCTATATTATTACTGAGTAGGAGTTCCAGGACTGTGTTGACTAAGAGAGCTGAAAGTAGATGTACGAATGGGGTGTGTGTGCCAGCATCTGAACTCCTCTCACCCCACAATGAAAACCCAGGTCAGTCCAAGACTGGTTCCCATGAAACAAGTCAGACATGTCCTGTCCGTCCAGACTGCTCTGCCAGCTCTGAATCCAACAGACCCCATGGTGCACTTCCTTTCCCTGGCTCAATCCACTTTTTGCAGTGGTCACCTGGAGTTCATAGACTGTACTTATGGGATTCATTGAGGCAGTTAACACTTTACAATCCAGGATTAGAAATGTTCAAGATACAGTTCTTTAGTCAGGACAGTCTTGTCTCTCTTTGTTTCTTGGTCTTTTTTGGTAGTGGTGAGATCCTCCTTTCCACTTTTGAGATGGGTTGTTTTAAATATAGGGAGGATAGCCAGACTGACCAATCTCCTTCCTTTTACTGTATTGCCTGTTGCCACTTCACTAAGGAGCCAAATACTTCTGTTCACATTTTTAGCAAGCTATCCAATATCTTTGGAGGGCCACCACCACTCACATTTAGATGGTTCTGCCCAGCCTATGTCTTTTTGGTGTAAACTCTTGATCTGTCCTGTCATCTCCACTCTACTGCTGAACATAACCAACAAGTTTTTTAATTTCAGTACTTGTTTAGTTCAGTTATAAAATTTCCATTTGATTTTTAAAGTGTTTATTTCTTTGATGACAATTTCTACTTATCAGAAGAGAATTTGTAATTGTTGAAGCATTTTAGGATGACTGCTTAAAAATTCATGTTAGATCATTTTAATATCAGCTTTATCTTTGTGTCAGTAGCTTATCTGTTATTTCACTGGTCTTTGTTGCGCTGTGACTTTCCATTATATCGTGGGCATTATGGGTATTAGAAACTTATTCTCTCTACTGTGGTCAGGACTTACATAACAAGTCATTATATAACGTCAACAGTCACATGTACAGCCAGTGATTATGTTCATCATCCTGATGCACCCTCACCTTTATCAGCTCTCCTTTCTTCACCGCCCTTCAGGGAAGTGTACTGCATCCTAAATCCTCAGCCCTCTTACCTTCCTTTCCACTCAACTCTAGCACCCACTAATAAACTTTGCTCTCTGTATACATGTCTATTTTAGGAGTCTCTTGATCCTATTTGAATCTTTGGGTCATACAAAGTTCATACACTTGGTTGGCAACCAAAAACTTAGATGTTCAAATCCACCTTGTGGCATCTTGGCAGAAAGGCCTGGCGATCTACTCATGAAAAATCAGCCATTGAAACCTTATGGTGGTGTGTGTGTGCGTGTGTGTGTGTGTGTGTGTGTGTGTGTGCGCGTTTTAAATCATTTTCTTGGAGGCTCGTACAGTTCTTATCACAATCCATACATACATCCATTGTGTCAAGTACATTTGTACATATGTTGCCATCAACATTTTCTTTCTACTTGACCCCCCATCCCTCATTTCCTCCCTCCCTCATGAGCCCTTAATAACTTTTTTTTCTGTGTAGGATACTGACCTATGTCTCCCTTTACCCACTTTTCTATTGTCCGTCCCACTGGGAGGGGATTATATGTAGATCATTGTGATTGGTTCCCCCTTTCTTCCCCCACACACATACACACACACTTTACCCTTACCCTTCTGGTATCTCTACTCTTATTGGTCCTGAGGGGTTCATCTGGCCTGCATTCCCTTTTGTTTCCAGCTCTTATCTGTATCAATGTACATGCTCTGATCTAGCTGGATTTGTAAGGTAGAATTGGGGTCATGATAGTGGTGGGGAAGACATGCAGAAACAATAATGAGCACAAAAACAAGACAGCAAAACAAAGCAACAAAAGAAAACAAAACCACACAACAACAACAAAAGAAAAGCCTATAAATAGCTCCAGGTCTGTTTGTTGTATGGTGCAGTTTTACTCTGACACATGCTGGGTTACCATGAGTCAGGACTGACTTGACAGCAACTGGTTTAGGTTTAATACCTAGGTCCTTGTTCACTCTGTGTGGGGTAATTCTGTCGACACTTGAGTTTTCAGGATGCATTTTTCTTGTGTTTTGTTTTTTTGACACTGGTAGAAATCTCATTTGATCTTTACTATTGGGAATGGAGCGTAGGCTAGGCTTCTGCTTGGGGTATGTGTTAGTCTTGGTAGACTAGAGAAACAAAAATCATAGACACTCGTGTATAAGAGAGAGTTTTATATAAAGGGTAAGTGTACATTAAGAAAGCATCCCAACCCAGTCCAGTCCAAGCCCATAAGTCTGACATTAGCCCCTACGTTCAGCACCGATCTGCAAAGCCCTCCTCAAACTCACAAAACACATGCAATGACACTGAATGCAGGTGATCACAGGCCAGTAGGTAGAAAGTCTTTGAATCCAGTGGTGGTACAAGCACCTCAGCGCTGGCAGGGGTCTCCACGTGGCTTCTCCAGCACCCATGGCTGCATCATGGTAGGTCCATGTGGCTTCTCAGGGATGTCTCACAGGAAGTGAGCCTTGCCAGCTGAGGCAGAGAACTAGCTAAGGCAGCCGCACACTGGTCCGACCATCAGAGAACAAGAAACAATAAAGGTGAGGCTTACCAAGCCATTTATCTCTCTGCCCTTCAATTAATCCACATGTGTTCATTGGCCAGGTTGACACAATAAACCTTAACTGTCACAGGGTACATGAGCTTTATTGTCCCAGGTGTGTGACAGGAACCTAGTAGAGCAACCCTTTGTGGTGAACCTGGCCTTCTTTTTGTGATGTGGGGTAAGGTCTAGGCCCACCATTGTCATGGATAGGTACTGAGGAATGAATCCCCTTCTTAGGTCTGTACAGGCTTTTCTCGTTTATTTACTTGTTTTATCTATGCCTGCTAGTTGCAGTCTCTCTGGGACCCAGGATATATAGGATTAAAGAAAACCCAGTTATCTCATCTCAGGGCCAAAGGTCCTTGGCTTACCATTTTTTCTTTCCAAGTCCTTTTATGATTGTCTATAGAATTATTTCTGGGCTATTACACGTAGAGGGACCAAGAAACTAGACTCAACTGCAGTTGAGTTGATTATAACTCATGATGACCCTGTAGGACAGTCCAGAACTGCAGCACAGAGTTTCAGAAGTCATATATCTTTACAGCAGCAGACTGCCGCATCTTCCTCCCTCGCTCCGAGTGCCTCTTGAGTGCAAAATGCTGAGCTTTCTGTTAGCAGCTAAGCACTTAGCCACTGTGTTACCCAGGCGGGCTCCTGTAGTTGAGGGAAGAATCAGGAGAATGTGAGCCTGCTATTCTGCAATCAGAATCCTAACAGTATGATG